CACACACACACACACACACACACACACACACACACACACACACACACGATCTCCACCAGAGAAAGAAACAGCCATGTAAAAAGGTGTATGTCCATGTGTGTGTACCTGTAAATGTACGTAGTCATAGTCCTCCATCCAGCCTTCCTCTGTGGTCTCATACGGCCGGTCCACACCTTCCTCTTCCTCTGCAGCTGTAAACTTTGGCGGAGAGGGGAGGGGCCGCGACTGAATGTTCACCCTCTCCCCTCCCTGATAGCTCCCACTTCCCGATCCCGTCATGTGACCGCCGATCTCCCCCGGGATCGGGGGAAGCGGCAGCTGCTGCTGCCGGTTGGTCCGTTTGAAGAGCAGCGAGGCGTTACCGTGGAGAAAGGAGGCGAGCTGCTTGGCATCGTCGGGGATGCCTCGCGCCGTCATGATCAGCCGATCCAGGTCGTCCCCTCCCGGCGGGGGTGCCGCGAGCGCGGCGTGCGACCAGGAGACGCCGTCCAAGCTCTGACTGTGCCGGATCAAACTCTGGAAGACCTCCTCCATCTTCCCCACCTGACGGCCCAACTTGGTCTGCAGGGAGCGGTCCGTGGCCTGGGCGGAGTTTGCCACGGCGCCCCGGGCAAATTCTAAGAAGTCCCGCACGGTGGAGCGCACCCGGTCAGCGGCTTGATGAATGGCGGGGAGGTTTCCTTCCAGATGGGCGGGGCTTCTCCAGTTACCCGTGATGAACGACATCATGAGTGAAACGCTGGACTCGACGGCCTGCTGGAGGCGGGACAGACGCTCCATGGCCTGCTCCAGGTCCAGGATGAGGGGCTTCCCCGGTACGGAGCCAGGGCCGGGAAGGGAGGAGGAAGAGGAGGTGTCGCGGACGGGGACCATGTCCAAGGAAGAAGCGGAGTGGTTGCTCCGTGTGCTTCCCGTGCTGGAGGCGGACAGCCGCTTGAAGGACAAGGTGAGCTCCTCACTGGTGGACTGAGCGTCACGCACCACCTGGAAAACACGCACGCAAAATAAGCTAAGCTAGCAGTTTAGCCCTGTTTCCTGTCTGTGTACAAGCTAGCAGTGCTAATTTCATCAAAACTAATTATGATGTGAAGCAGTCGTTGAAATGTCCACAACGAAAACAATACAGAAACTAATTAAAAATGTCTATAATGCATAATAAACATACTTATATGTTATAATCTGCTTATAGGATGGTATAATTATAGTTATAAGTGCTCATAAGGTTTGATGATAGTATTTGTCATCAAATAGAAACTAACTGAACACAACAACGATGGTTTCCCAGAATGTGGGAGCGCCTCTTTAGATACCTGCGGTGGGACATCGTAGACACTGTGGTCTCCCCTCTCCCCTCCTTTCTCCTCTCGCTCCCGAGGGAAGTCGTAGATGTCCTGATGGTGGTGACCCCCCGACCGCAGGCTGGCGGGGATGTCGTAGATCTCCTGAGGGGGCTGGTCGACTCCGCGGTAACGCTTGTCGGTCAGGATCGGGGGTGGGACGTCGTACACGTCCTCCGGGATCGGCGGCTCGTCGTCGTCGTCGTCGTTGCCGTTGAGGTTGTGCGGGTAGTGGCCGGGGGGCGGGAGAGCCGGCTTGAGTTTGGCAAAGTGGGGTGGCACGTCGTAGGTCTCCTCTCTGATTGGCTGAGAGTCGGGGACGTCTTTGCTGACAGACGGGGGGAAGTCATACACCTGAGGAGAGAGAGAGCAACCGTGACCACTGCTTTATATCACATTTTTGAACATGACAGTAAGAATAGAGTATATATATATATATACACATACACAGTATATTCAGACAGCCTTACCGTCTGCTGTGTGCTTTTGTCTGAGCTGGCTGGGATGTCATATATATCCTGACCACTAGAGGGCCCCTTCACCACCATGGGAGGAGTGTCATACACCTGAACACAAGACATCCAGACAGACAGAAATAACATGCAGTTACACACACACACATCTCACAGCTGCTTCACGTTCTAATTATGTGTGAAGTATGAGTATGATACGACCAGCAATATATAACAATAATTCCTGATGATACAATTCATCAAACTAATGCGACCTGGTGCGCTGTAAAATAGATTAAAGAATTGAATTCCATTTAATTATTTTAAGTTCGAGACCAGAGAAAATATTTAAAATTCATGTGAATAAAATGTAAGACTTTTTAAAATCTTCTAAGGCCTTTCCTGTTTGAGGAAACTGAATACAATCCTGCAGTAACTGCTAACATCACACTACTGTATAATAGGCGAGATGTGAGATGACTGTTGGTACCAGATGTGGTGATAATTTCATCGTCTGTGGCAAATGGCGACATAAAAAACAGGCAAACCCCCTCGTCCACTGGAAGTTTTTAAGGGGACGTGTACACAAATGCAACATCACATGTGTTTGGCAATTTAAAAAGCTGATGGAAGCACGCAGACAATCGCTCCCAAAGTGAGAACAAGCATGTCTAAAGATGCTTTAAAAAGGTCCTTTAGGTTCTTTAAAGTGTCACCAAGAGTACATTATTCTATTAGAAACCAATCTGAAATAAAAAACAGTCAAGAGAGATATACACAGGCGCACACACACACACACACACACACACACACACACACACACACACACAC